TGTACGCACTCTTAATTACGCATGAACTGCCGTCACAGAAAGCGCGCCCGTAACGTGGCTGCCGAAATATAGGCACGCGACGAAAATATGCATGCCCAAGCGCGTAACGCCTAATACCGTAATGCGCACGTCCATTAATAATTTTAACACGAGTGCGTCTTATATGCAAGCTTGTCCCCAATAATCAATGATTCATGGCCATCTAAATTGCACATGACTAAACCTTATGTATTAAAATAATATCACCTTTCTCACTATTTACAGAGCAACCTTTTTTTGTATAAATGGGATTTTTACTGTTACAGAATAAAATCGGTAGTAAAACTTGCAGGACATAGCAATATTTCACGAATATCCGTGTATATCGCATGCGCTATTAATGCCTCTTCTCAGAAACTTCATGTTTATGTCAACGGATACGCTATTCCAAGACCCCGAATAATTTGCCGTGCTTGAGAAATACCGGATCTCTTGGACCGCGCATTTCCTCGTGTGAACGCTAAATGCCGTATTTCTGAAGCCGCGTATTTTATAGACTGGTCCGCGCTCGACAGTTCCAGTGTAACGCGAGTGAAACTGTTGAGCGCGGACCAGTCTACATATTTTATCGGCAGTTGGTGTGCATTGCATTGTTTATTTTGCATTGTTCGCTTGATTGTTTAAAGCAGCTCGCAGCTCGCAAATACCGTATTTCTGGAGCCGCGAATCAGCGTGTGAACGCTCGGCCGCGTATTTGTCTCAGATTCGGTATTTCGCAAATACCGTATTTCATAAATACGAGGTCTCGTGTGAACGAGGCTATTTATAGAGCAAGAAATCACACCTTATTATGTAACGTTATGTAATCAACATCCGGTTTTGAAACGTTTTCAATTTTGCCTCACTGCCAGCATAGAGGCGAGAGTTTGTGTCGTGCTGACTCGCCCACTTTCCTCTTCTTTGCGCTACGGAGCACTTCACTTGCCCTAATGAGTTATCACGCCACCGAATATTTACCGTAGCAGAGCAACGCCTAACACCCACTTACCATGCATTAAATTGACAAATCCTTCCATGATTGCTCAAATTACGGCTGGACTGCTAGCTGAGATAAAACCGAGTATGTACCGCAGTGCCGCCTGAATACTGACAATTCGGACGCATTTTCATCTCTGTTCATGTGTGCGTCCATGTGCGCATTTCGCTCTCGCGCTCGCTCTCTCTCTCTCTCTCTCTCTCTCTCTCTCTCTCTCTCTCTCTCTCTCTCTGTCTCTACACCTCTCTCTGAAACTCTATCTTCCTTCATGCTCGAATTCGTTCTTTGTGCTGACTCTTTATCCCTTTCTCTCTTTCTTTCATTCTTCTTCCACCACCCCATTTCAGTATCTCTACCCTCTCTCTGTCTGTATGTCTGTCTGTCTGTCTGTCTGTCTATCTGTCTGTTTGTCTGTCTGTCTGTCTATCTGTCTGTTTGTCTGTCTCTCTCTCTCTCTCTCGCGCGCTCCCTAGCTAGCTCCAGCCAGCGTTTAGGTGGAGGAGCAGGAATTGTATTCTACATCAAATAAAACTCATTTGCAAACACCTAGTGGAAAGCTGATTGACTGCGTTGATTTGTACTGTGCGACGTGAGAACAGAGCAGAATTGGGAATTTAACAGATGGATACGTTGCGAAGAAAGTAATCCGAAATGTTTCGCTCACCCTGAAATGTACTTCGTGGCTTCTAGAACTCTCTTATTCGATAAACAGCAATGCTGACGACGTTATATTGAGCTGCTGCCGTCGGATACAGCCACATCCCACTCAGATATCTACTGTATAGATAAAGAGAACACATCCAGTCCACTCAAAATCGGTGCGTATGAATCTGAAGCTCCGCGTGTTTTGTGCCATCGAACCACCCTATACGACCTGAGCATTTTACAGTGAAGTGGCTCTCATGGTAACATTTGAGCTTGTACTATTTTAGTTAGGAGGAAATATCAATTGTAGGGATGAGTTTTATGAATAAACATGAGGGATTGTTTTCTATTTTTAAAGATTGTACTCTGTAATGTTTACTTATTAGTAGTTTAATAAATAACGTTTTATCTTTTTATCAACTAAATGTATGATGCTTTGATCACTGCGTAAAGACATTATACAAGTATAGATGGAACAAAAAAACCTGCACTCCCCCAATATTTTTAGGGTTCAACACTTCAAAGCCAATACGAGAAGATTATTCCATAGAGGCTCGGCATGCGTATTTTGTTACACGCCACGGTCGCCATGACTGTAAATTTCGAATTCAGCTATACTCCTAATACTATCAAGAGCTAATAAATACCTAGGTAGGTATTTAAAGGTATTTTTAGCTCTTGATACTATCAAGAGCTAATAAATACCTAGGTAGGTATTTAAAGGTATTTTTAGCTCTTGATACTATCAAGAGCTAATAATAGAGGTATTATTAGCTCTTGATAGTATCCCATATTTAGATAATTAAACGTCATCGTGTCTATTCATTGAGCACAATATGGAGTTTAAAAAGTTCTGTATTGCTGAAAAGACGATTATTTTATTATATTAGGAAATTACGAGATATACTATAGTGTAAGAAAATAGTGAAAAAGGTTATGGATTCAATTTTGCCTGTTTATTAGGACTTGAAGTATTACCGTTTCTTCCTCTACATTTACATTCTATGTCACCGTTAGCAAAACTAGGAGAAACTCGATTGACTATTTTCTCACATTCGACCAAAGCTGCTTTCAATTAACGTTCCGATTTCATGGATAATTTCCATAATGAGATTTGCCGTTGTCTTTCACTCTAGCCGACTATTATGCGCGAGTATATTAATTTTACACACTGATTAAACATGGCGAAACACGCGGATAAAGCGCTGGGGAGAATACACATGAGAGCCCTGATGAGTTCAACCCGCATGAGAGAGAGACAGCTAGTATACAATGTATGCAGCAGACAGCGTATGTATAGGCTGTTCTAGTGATGTTATATCAACTAACCTGCTTTTTTACCGTATGATGCTAGCTTATTATTAATACAAACTATAGAAGGCTCGTAACTCTGTGCATGCATGCTGTGACAAACGCGCAATATTGCCAATAAAGCAACCGCACGAACAGGACACGACTTCGTCTAATACAATAACGATTCATGACATTCAAATTTTTGTCAGAATCTTCGAGAATGGGGGCATTTCAACTATTATTCGAATCCCGTTATGCAGTAGGCTAAGTGAATATATCTTTGGAGTCCTGTGGGAGAACGTGGATGCAGCTACATGTGCCTTGAACTCGATCCCTGCACGAATTTGAATCTCAATACTATAGTGAGAGCGAGCCGACCTGATATTTAGCACATGGACGTGAAATGCCCTGCTGTGCAGTGGGTACGATGCTTCGTACGAGATACACAACTCGGACGTTAATTTGAAGCAACGACGGTGCGACCGTGCGGGACCCTTTCTACATCTTACTTCCATTCACTGATTGATCATATTCCGATTCTTCTCGTGTTCTAATAAAGCGACATATTTACGTTTCTGTTTCGGCTTGGAAGGCACAAGTGGCATGGAAATGTCACATGATATGATGATAGCTGCAGTGGATATTGTATGCAAACATATATCGCGCCACAGCCGCAGACCTCATTGTGTCTTTTATCTGCATATGATGGCATGAATCTAATATCGTACAGCGAAGAGAAAAGCTAACGTTGACTGAAGCCGTGTGAACAAAAGAAGTTTTCTGTAAGAAGAGACAGCACGCGCTCATCAATTCCGCGGTCAAGCTGGATAGGCTAGTTTCCTAACGATAATCAATAGCGTTATTGTTGATGCAGCATGTGCGCGTGCATGCGTGCGTGCGTGCGTGGGTGCGCATGCGCACGCGTGTATGTGCGCGTGTGTGCGCGCACGTGTGTGTGTACATGCGTGTGTGTACATGCGTGTGTGTGCGTGCGTATGTGCGCGCCTGCGTGTATGTGTATGTGGCCGTGGCACACGGACGTATCCTCGCTTCCTACACGGATACCCGGTCACAGCGACTCCAGAGCCTGATTGAAAAATTACAATCTTTGTGGAGGAAAAACAAATGCAAATGTAGAGAAAAACTGTATGCTCTACCATGGCCACTGTTAGGAAAATCTAGGAACTGCCCGGTGGCATGTTGCATTCAGTGCAATAGGTACGGTGACTGGAAATCGGGCAATGGCTAGATTGAAATATACTGTCACCCATTGAGGCATTAACCTAAATTTAGAACGGATTTCCACTATTTAACAGCTCCCTCGTCGTATTCGTCCTCATTACATCACTGTTATTTAGCATCCATTATCATCGTTGTTATTCACGAATTATAGGCGAACGACATTACAGGCGACGACATTATAGGCCACGACATTATAGGCGAAGATGCATAGCATCTCATGAGCGTAAGCCGCAGTAATGCAATAGGGTAAAAATATCACCATACCGTGCGTGTACGTGTATACTTGTGCGTGTGCGTGTACTTGGGCTTGTGCGTGTGCGTGTCTATTTGTGCGTCACCTAGTATAAATACGGTTTCTCACCAGAGAACCGAAGAAACGTGAAAGGACGAATACATTTTTCGAACCTCAAAATTATGATTACGCACGACAGGCGTCACTAGCAAATGTGCAAATGTTTACCGAACAAAATTGGTTTGAAAAGCAAAAAACGCGTGTGTTACGGGTGCCATATCAACCGGCATTCATGCCCCAAATAATAGTTACTGTATCGAAGAAAGCTCCAAAATTACATCGAGTATCCACAATCACAACGTCAACAATGTCACTGTCAATGCGAAATGCGTGTCGATAGGCATACGCACCAGAATTCTGGGCTGCGAACCACAACGCACGCAATCAACCTGTGTGCTCAATTCCCCCTCCCTCCCCCAGCCCGGAGGCCGACAACCGTAGCGTCTCGCCACGCCGCAAGCACGGCAGAGACACGGGGGAGACGGTTCGGGGAAGAGGTAATTATTTACTCACGCCCTCGTGCTGCTCCAGTACGGGGAACAGTGCCTGGAACACGGTGTCCATCATGTGGCAGACGAGCGACGCTTTCCCGAGCCAGCTCTCGATCGAATCCTCATCGAAGTGCTGGGCTGGTATGTACGAGTGCTGATGCTCAGAAGCGTAGTCCTTGTGCTCTGCAAACACGAGACAACGGCTGCGCGTCAGCGAGGGACGTAGGAAAAGTCGTCTGCGCTCCAGGCAGTCTTGGAAGCAAGTCCGAAAACCCAGCCCCGAGTCCAAAAAATTTCGGTTTCCGACTCGTGATTTCACACCTATATAGTTAAATCCATAAAAAATCGAAATTTACGAGACCCGGACTGGGAGGGACGAGCTGCTAGTTCCAACACACGCATCCACGGCGTCAGAGGTGGCACTCCGCTAGTCTTCACACAGCAGCAGTTCGATGACTGGCGGGGAAAACGGGTGATACGTACCTGACACCGCTTTGCTGTAATAATCTTACCTCACTCATCTCGTGCCGGGTAAATAAACCATATTACGATTATGACTGCAGGGAGGGGAGGAGCTAACGAAACTAGGAGGCTGTGCACGAGAATATGCAAGCTTAGTTTTATTACGGTCGCCTTCCTGAGCCAAAATATCCCACTACTGTGGTGTTAAGGGTGTTGGTTGGGATATGGGAGAGAGGAAGAGAAAGAAAAGAGAGCAGAGGGTCTGAAACACGCGCACGCACGCACGCACGCACGCACGCACGCACGCACTCACGCACGCACACACACACAAATATACATATATATACATACTAGCGGGATACCCGGCGTTGCCCGGGGAAATCAGTGGCGTTACTCAGTTGGTGACCGCTTGGTTGAAAGGAAAATACCAAAAAAAATCTGCATCCATCCATGCATCCATCCATCCATCCCATTCCATGCCATCCCATCGCACCGCATCCCATCCCATCCCATCCCATCCCATATCCCATCCCATCCCATCTCATCGCATTTCATGCCATCCCCAGGGCGTCAAGTGACAATTGACGCTCAAAAAATGGGAAAATAGGAATTTCAGATGTGAAAAAGTAGGAAGAAAATAGGAATTTTGGTGAGAAAATATATATGTTAAATAGGAATATTTTTTGCGTTAGATGGCCTCCCAACACCCCTACAGCCATCCCGATCCACCACAAATGGTTTTATTAATATACATATTTGGAGTTACATCACATGCGAACAATATTTTGAGATTTTAATGAGAAATGCAACGTAAAATTGATAAGCAGTTTATACATGCATAAGCACCCATACATGTAGACTACTCCAAAATAGTAGTGATAATTATTAAAAATAAAGACTAGACATGCACATGATATAAGATTATTCAGAAATTGTGCAATAAATTTTTACTATAAAGCACAAATATGTTAAATAGGAATATGTGTTCATTAGATGGCCTGATGAAATAAAATTTTTGAAAATTGGGTCACCTGAAATGTAAATTCCTGCATTCTGAGAAGGATACATACAATTCTGGATTCAGAAAAATGAAAAGCCCTCAAAAATAGGAAAAAATGTGAAAGGAGGAATTTGTCCAGAAAATAAGAGAAAATAGGAATTGCCCAGAAAATAGGACAAAAATAGGAACTTGACGCCCTGCATCCCATGACATGCCATGCCATGCCATGCCATGCCATCCCATCCCATCCCATCACACCGCATCTCATGCCATCCCATCGCACCGCATGCCATGCCATGCCATGCCATGCCATCCCATCCCATCCCATCACACCGCATCTCATGCCATGCCATGCCATCCCATCCCATGCCATCTTGTGTGTGTGTGTGTGTGTGTGTGTGTGCGTGTGTGTGCGCGTGTGTGCGCGTGTGCGTGTGCGTTGATCGAACCTGGAAGCTGAACCTGACCTGATGCTCATGGCTAGTTCATCGCATCTCACTTACCCTACCTACTACTATCACAGCAGGAGATGTGACCGATGCTTAAACTGTAAATAGATTATTGTGGCATATGTAGGAATTAGGGCCAGAAGTTCAATCTGTGAGAACATAATTAAACGCGTTGAGTGGTCGTGAAATCGTACTTATTCCTCAAAGGGTTCTGTCCAGGACCGTACCGATTTCCCACGCTAAGCGAGTCAAACCAACAAGGGATAAAAGTAATCGATATACGCAGATATGGTGCGTGTGCGCGTGTGTATTGTGTGTGCGTGCGTGCGTGCGTGCGTGTGTGTGTGTGTGTGTGTGTGTGCTTGCATGCGCGCGTGCGCGAGTGTATGTGCTCGCGTAGAGGCGTGCGTGGGATAGCGGTCTGTCTCTCGCACGAAGCAATTTTTCGCCATATTTTAATTGACTCATGCCACAAGAGTGCATCTCTTTTTTGAGTGTCTAATCGTGAAACACATACCCTGCACGACGATCTCATCAAGCGCACAGGCAGACAGCGCAGAGCAGCGGCGGCGAGTTATTACTGCTGCTGAAAACACAGAACTGACGACGCAAATTAATATAGGCAGAACACTGCACGTAGGGAATATTCACAGAGCCGACTGTCAGAGTTCTGCCCAGCAGGGTACGTTGGCGATTTAATGTAGTAAGCCTATTACCACAGCTGTTTGCAAAAGGGGGATTTCTCCTGATCAGCTCAAGTTTTTTGCAAACTGAATGTTGTCAGCAGCGGCTTTTGTTACTGGGGAAATAAGGCATGTAAAACTGAAGAGGAGCCTAGAGAGAAATCCCTCTGCGTTTCACATCGAATGATTTTTCGCTTAATGCTGTTTAACTCAGAGTCGGTTTCTTACAATGTTCTCTGGAACATTTTATTAATAACTGTAATACCAAACTTAATTACCAGTAACGAACAACCTAGTCCAATCTCAAGTGCGTCACGCATAACGCAGGGCATCGTGAGGTTAGGGGCACCATTAAACATACATAATTATGAATATTTCCAGCAAAGCTACACCATAGCTATATGCACATTTCCATGGAACTAACAACGGACGTTATAAACGACCGATTTATGATCGATTAATCAGTGTTAGTATATTCGGAATTTGCAGGCCGTGACCAAAGGAAATGCCACAAGATTATAAAATGGTAATTTCTTGAATTTAAACTAGGTTATTTTTACATAAGAGTATGATAAGACCAATTTCGTACTAATGACAAGAGCCGCAGAGCGTCTGGGCTCATCTGAGGTCTGTTGCTACGGTTATAAACGTAACATTTGAGTCGTGCATAGTGACACCTTTCTTAGGCGCAGATATGCATGCAGATATGCAGTTGCGTACACATCATTTCAGCAACCTTCTGCATTCTGCATACTTCCCAAATCCCATTGGTTGATACAAATCGCGTGCCTGAAACTCCTGTTTTATGGTGCATTGTGACCCTAACCCTAAACCCAATTTTGTTTAATATATTAATTGTTGTACAAATTATTTGTTGTTATTAAATTGTTGTAAATAAATCATGTAAATATTTGCGTTAATTGGGGAAAAATAGTTAAATGTGTAACCTCGTACTTCGGTTACTTAGGTGAGGTAGGCAGCGGGTAAGAGAACAGGGTATAAGATGCGCAAAGACATAAAGCAAACACGAACTAGCGAAGTAACGTACCACAAGCTACTGTATTGTTAGCCATGTCTCATACAAGTACAACACGTAGCGTATACAACTATAGCGTGACAAGACGAACACAGGCACAGGGAGAGAGAGTTGAGTTCCCCGTGCCCGAGTGCCGCTCGCCAGTTATATACCCCGGCGATTCCCGTGCCCGCCATTTGGGCATTATCCTGTCACCTCTTGGGTTTTCCAGGTTCCCATTCTGCCGACCCCCGTCTTGCGAGGGCCGCATCTCATGATGTCGCGTGTCACGTATCCTGCTCTCCGCTCTCTAAGTGACCCATTCACTCTAGTCAGTCGTTCGACACCTGTACCACCTGTGGCCCTGCTACCAGCTGTCTCCCGCTCTCCGCTCACTTGGCAACGTGCCTAATTAATGAGCTCGAGCGCAGCATCGCTACAAATGGATAAAGATAGAAAAATACAGAAAACAGATAAATAATAAAAAATCAGATGGGATTCGATCCAACGACCTTTCAGCCCTGACGCCCGTGCTGTACGCGTTCGGCTATCCAGGCTTAGGGTTAGGGTTATTGGGTTTCTAGATTATGAATGTGCCATGAATATGACAACACTGTGACGTCATTGAGGCACAACTTCAGGAATCTATGTTACCTCGCCTCTTGAGAGTCTAAAACGCGTTATACAGACATTACTCTTCGCCACACCAGACCCCCTCAGAAGTACGAAAGCACATTTCATGGTCCTTTCATAAAGTATATAAAATGGTAGGTCAGCCTGAAACAAACAAAAAAGTTTTTCACACTGTCACTTAGGCGCGCATGTTCGCGTCAGAAAAATGTCTGATAGAATGACTTTCCATCAACAGCTGGCCCTTTGACCTGTGGCCTCAATTTCGAGCTACCTGATCGATGGCGTATTTCCTTGGCCCACATTCACACAGACTAGAGAACACCTAACGACACTAATTAAGAGCAATGGGTCGAGCCGTTAAGATTTGTGGCCGCCAATTCCGCTACATTACCTCCTAATACCTTAAGTTAAGGGGGAAATATATCCCCCTCCGTTGACAGCATCTTGCAACGCTTTAACCATCTGAGCACCCCCAAGATTGCCCAGTTCTGAGTCTTTTCACGACCCCCTCCCCCCGACGTCCGAATGATCCGTGACCGTACGTCGAGCGGTTAAGATTTGTGCCGAACCTGTTGACGGACGCGACGCGTATCCGGACCGGCCCGCACGCGCTGAGACTCATAGCGATTCTACAAGCTGCATACTGACTTCGTAAATAATTACAATTATCTTTTAGTCTAATTTCCCTTTGAATGACCTGGAACCTAAAGGTAGGGCACCACCGACGATTGGTGTTATCGCCCGCATGCGCCGCGCAATTCTTAAAACGCTCGAAAAGTTGCCGGACATACGGGAGACCGTGTCGCCGTTCACGTCGACAGCCGATTTTAATCGCACCGATCGAATCGAGCCCGTATCCAAAATTGCTTAGATATTTTCGGCTGCCGATTATTTACGCGCCGGGCGACTTATCTATCGGCTCGTGTCCCGTGAGCAGGCGTATTTTTGTCGGCCCGATCGATTTTTCTAGACCCCAATCGGACGTGTTGTTGATATCATGTGGCAATGTTAAAATGGCTGCCTCCAATACTTTAGAAGTGTGGGACTCGGCGAAACAGAAGGCGAATTGGTATTTGCTGATGGTCGGAAAAGGCCATGCCTTGTGATCATTTACGAATTCCGGTCTGAAAAGTTCACCGGATATCTGTGTAAGCGATAGGAGGTCGCTATTACAGAAAATAGCGCTGAGACTTTGCCAACTGAATTGCTCTCCGAGTTCTTTTACTAAAAAATTCGAGTAGACCCCTCACCCCTGTTCCGGGCGAGCATTCATCCAAACTCCTGGACCCGAATTTCGAATCGCCCAACGATGCCTTTCTCCGTAATTCTCTGTTTGACTTTTAGAGCAAAAATAATACACAGCACTACTACAAACAGCCAACAAACGCTTTTTATTTCGGCGGTTTTTCGCAACCATTTTGAATAACATGCGATTCACATTTAGATAGGAAAATCTGTCGACGTGGCGTACGCGTACGCTCTCAAACTGTCTCGCCGTACGTGTGCCCCTTCGATAGATCGTGTGTCGATTAAACTTCGCACGAATGTGCTCCCTTCATATTCAGTAGATCAGCGCCGCGATTAAAGTTCGCTCAGTGGCGCAGGATGTGTTGAATCGCCGCGATCGGGCGATAAAAATCGCTCGTGTGCCCCTAGCATAACGCACGTGCCAAAAAGCAACGCGACCGATTAGGCGTTCACTGGTCAAAAGTATGAAGGGGAGTAAACTAAAAATGTTTAGCAAATTAGATGAAAAAGTAAAGAAAATAAATTAGCATGACTGAGCCTGTCAAGACTAACGAAAATGGAACAGAGGCAAGATAATTAATTTATACCAAACAAACTAAAGAAGGCGAGAGGAATGAATCAACAACCATGCATTCGTAATGACAAGGAGAGGACGAAATAATTAACCTACTGCTATCCTCACACCAGAGGTGGCTCATTCCGCTTCTACCTGTTATGTTCCAGGCAAAACGTGAGAGCCAGCAAAGAATTAAAACCCCGACCCTATTAGCCAGTGGCAGTTAGTTGTACGCCGCATGCGGCCGGTGACATACGCATGCGCATGAGCAACGCTATATGGCGTTTCTACTGCATATCTGACACCAGCTGCTAGTACTTCTACATTCTGTGCGCGTGAACACGGTAGCGCCTTCACCTTGCGAACCGGCGCAGCCCATTCACGAGTGATTAGGCAAGATTATCGGGTATGAATTAGCAGGCACTACTAAGGCACTACGTTTGTAAGAGAAGACCGTCGTCTGATTGTGCATGCGCGCGCGCCGCAATGGGCACGCCGTTATGCGCGAACCAGTTCGATTTCTCATCTCGTCGTCAACACATGCGGTTCGCACCATCATATTTGCAGAGTGTCACCTTGCCGCTCGCGTGCCGCCATTCGTGGCTTCATAAACTGGCTTCATTTAATGGTGGTCGAAGTGGCTGTTACGGAGCACGCGAACGAACTCGCGCAAACACACGCGAATCTATACGCGCGGCCATTTCACGTGCATACGATTGATTGACCCCCTCCCCACCTTGCCATTCTGTCAGCATCACAAATCGAATTCTTGCAAAATCTACTCAAATAGCAGTTTTTATTTATAATATAATACGCTTTACTATAACCAAAAATACATCACTGCTACAGTCAGTAGGTGTGTGTGTGGGTTATCATTTCTTGTCTGTTTAGATGACAGCCGTTGTGCTGCTGTGACGGTCAAACGCTGTCGCCAGCAGTGACAACTAGACACTAACGGCGGCCATCGTCACGAGTAACGTTATAAAATACGGTTGGCATATGTGGGCGGGCGTTGTTATGATTTCATTGGAAACGGACACGGTATACGGGCAATAATACGGCTATTGTTTGTGATTGGCACATTACCGTTGCTTTTAGGCATGCTGTTTACGACGCCACACACGTGTAACGTAGCATGCACTATAGTATCTGAAGTATACCCATTGACTAATTATTAGCCTGCAGTACGGAAGAACCACATATATCAATAGGATAAAATTACAGAATACTCTAATTAATTACTATTTAATACTCTATTACTTAATTACTAATTAATACTATAAAATTACAAAATACTTGCAGACTAGCTCTCAGCTGTTGTTATATTACATCACGACTTTCATCGGTGCTTATTAATAACATTCAGAGTATGGGCCTAGTAAGAGACCATTTGCCAGAGTACTGGAACGCATTTCTCACAAGACCAACTGATCTCGGATACTGTTAGGGTTACGGACCGATAACACTGTGAAGGGCATTGCAACATAACTGCTCATCAAATTCAATCAAACTCATATCCATTACATGCGAGAGATGTCTCTCTACGCTCTCGATAAATTATTTTTTTTAATTCACCGCTAATTAATTGACGGCAAAAATTGTGAATTTATACAAAAACATGCTTTTTTGCTATTTCTCAGAAACAGCAAAGAGTTGGGACCTAAACTTTTAACCATAAGTTGTTTATAATATGAATTAAAAAAGGGTCCCTGGAATTTTTTTTAAATGCTTTAATTTAGGAAATAAGTTGAAAAGATGTACAAAAATTTGTAGTGAATTTCTAAACGCAACAATTTCGTAAACAAAGAGCCATGACTCATAAAATATAATATTTAAAGATCCTTTTTTCCATTAATATGTTAGCATTGAAACGTAACAAAAATTTTTGGAATCGGAGATGCGAGTTTCGAGAAATAGCGCTTGAAAAATCACCTACTTTAGCATTTTTAACAACCGAGATATCAGCACTTTTCTAAATTTCCCATCATTGAACGCCTGTGTTAAGAATTGACTAATGCGGGGATTTGGAACTGTTCGGGAGGCTACTTAAATAATTTCTACGTATACATAGCTGCCCATGGCTGCGATCTATAAAATAAAGTGGGTATTGAAATTTCGACCGAAATTCACCTCCCAACCCTAACAGTATCTAGCATCTGTTGATGAAGGTCTAGATTTAACATTTAAAAAAATTTATTTGCTTTTTCCTGAAACCATTTAGATGTACAGCGTTTTTGTGAGATTTTTGCCTTCGTTTCGACTTTTGCGATGATCCAAATATTTTCTCAGTGTAGCGAAGACTGCTGCTCTATCAGATCTCAGATCCGCGTCTTAGCCCGTGCGTTCGGTCTGTATGCTGCTGCGTGCATGCGTATTATTAGCTATCCCACGCTTTCTGCCTGCTGCTGCTTGCGTCTTGCCATATGCGATTTATATTACCCTGTACCTTTACAATCCTTCCAAAGTTAATAAATAAGTTCTCGTCCAGAGTATCTGCCCCTGCTGAGATAACATTATATAGATGAAATTCAATAAATTCGTGACAAAAGATGAATAGTTGAGATTGTTGGATGAATTCGCAGTTGTGGATGTACTCGTCTCATAGGATAATGGAAAGCTTTTGAGTCGGGCAAAGGTTTTGTAAAATCCTTTATCCGTATATATATATATATATATATATATATATATATATATATATATATACAATATCCACTGCATGCCAGTGTGTGAGATTGCGAATATCGCATAAAAATAATCTATTCAACAGTACGATAGCCGTAATTAACTAATAGTATAAATCATAATATGTTCATAGCAGGAATTTTGCATTAAAGATATTATCAGAAGATCTTGTAAAACGAAGGCAGACGAGTTGTGACACCATAGACTGTCGGTTATCTGCGTGTCTACATAATATGCTATATAATTGCCAAAACCTAACTAATTTGATTTTTTTTTAAATATCAAAACTCCTAGCCCTTATTCATTCACATACCAAA